AGCACTTCTGAGACTCCGAATAGAACCTTAGATGACTGGCTCTCTTTGACAAATCTCACTGTTTTTTTTCTTCATTTAACAAAAACAAGCAAAAATGCAGCAGCGATGTGTGTGTGTTTGTGTGTGCAAATCTAAGTAGACACTGATTCAGTAGCTTGTAGAGCCACTCTTAGCAGTAACAACTTGAAATAGACAACATTATGCAGGCAGTTTGGCCCACTATTCTACATCATTTCATTCAGTTTCAAAGAGGTTTGCAGGTATTCAATTGAGTAAACAGTTTCTATACTTTAACCAGAGCCCTGAAACACCTTTTCATCCGATCCATTTGTTGTGGCCCGCTGCTTTGGATCATTATTGTGTTCTTTGACCCAATTACAGGCAAATTCTAGCCTCACGTTTGACTCCAAAATACTATTGTGGCTGCAAAACATGCCAACATCTTCATCCCTCAAGCACTGTGCTCAACAGCTGGTATGAGGAGGATGTGCTTTTTTATGCTTCATATGTCATTTATTTCCATCTCCAAATGTCTCCAACATGTCATCAGAGGCATGTACATTCTGAGCTCTTTTTTATTTTTTATTGTTTCTCTGAATGTCTGATGTTGGGTCGAGCTTCATGTAAAGATCAATTAATTGTTCTCCACTTGTGAATATTTTTCCCCACTGCAGAATCACAGACACCAAACTGTTGTTTTACCACAGTACACAAATGTACCACAAAAAGCATGGATTTTGACTCTGATATCATTGTTGATGTTGGTCTTATCTATCTAGGGTGCATCCATTTAGATTTCTTTGAAGATGTCCCAATGCCTACAACACAAAAAAGAAGGCGTACTTGATTTTGATATGACTGCACATGTATAATAAATTCATCCATGCGTGTCTCTAGACGTACTGAACCATGAACATTGCCACAATCATAGTCATTATCACATTCAGCTGCCGATCTTCGCGCCCGGGCAGGCTCTACACCCACTTACACCACCAACTGGTGGGTCTCCTTGGTCATGACACTCCAGCTCCTGTCCCTGTTCAGAACCAGGAACCAGCTGGTCTGAACAGGCTCTCATAATGCCTCCGTTATTGGACTTGGGAAATGAAGACATTTCAACAAGCTGTAGCAGAGATTAAAGCCCCTGTGGCATTGTGTGCAAATTGCATTTCTCTCACGATCTTATTAAAATGTGACCATTGACAAGGGTCTTTGACTTTGTAAAATGCTGCCTTGTTGACCCAGTTCCAGCCTCTCTCATCATAGTGCTTGCTCGTTGTCAAGAATAACCAATAAAGTTTGATAGTTCATATCTAGTATCCCCATAACAAGGCTTAAAGACTCTTTTTAAATAAACAAACTGTCTTTCTTTCGTTTTCATATACTAATATATATATTACATGTGTGTTACAGATGTATTTTCACCAGAAACCCTCCCAGCATCTCTGCAAGCAGAGTATCGACAATTTCCACTGATCCCTGTATCCACTTAGATTTTTCCTCATTTGAATGATCTGATATTTGAAGAGCCTTTTTTTTTTGCGTTTTCTGTGTTTGCTGTTGTCTCGGCTGCTGTTTGTTTGCAGTAGGTCTTCCAATATTGATCACAGCAGATTGAAGCCAGTTTTGTTTGAATATGTGTGCGCACGTCTCAGGGTTTGCTATTCTGATTGACCTGCAAAGAGAAATAGCAGCAATGACTTTTGTTGTTTATCTGAATGAAACTTTTTTAATCATTGTATGGTTATGGTTAAAAAAGAAAAGAAGAATTAGGTCCTGTGTGAGTGAGTGCTGCAGTGCTCTGGTGCACAAACGTTGCTCTGTGCAACAGCACCATCTAGCGGCCATTGTTGGTCACTG